CGCGGCCCCGCGCCGCTCACGTGACCGCCGCCCCGCCCGCTCCCCGCCCGGCGGCGCGCGAAATGCGGCGCCCCCGCCGCGCGAAATAAGTCTCGGGCATGCGCGGGGGGCCTGCGCGGTGGGGCGGCCGGCACGCGCTGTGACACCCCCTTCACAGCGCCCCTCACACTGCCCCTGGCAGCGCCCCTCACAGCGCCCCTCACACTGCCACTCACACCGCTCCTCATAGCGCCCCTCACACTGCCACTCACAGCGCCCCTCACAGCGCCCCTCACACTGCCACTCACACCGCTCATCACAGCGCCCCTCGCAGCGCCCCTCGCACTGCCCCGGCCCCCGTCCCTCGAGCCGGGCAGGGATGTCCTCACATCGGAACAGGCGTGGAGGGCGCGGAGTCTCCCTCTCTGCAGTCATTCCAAAGCCACCCGGACGCCTCCCTGGGTCACCTGCTGCGGGTGGCTCTACCGTGGCAGGGTGTTGGACTGGATGATCTCCTGACGTCCCTTCCAACCCCAGCTATTCTGGTTCTGCGATTCTGTCTGCAGCCCTTGTCCCCCTGCCCGGTCTCCTTCCTTCCCTCACGGCTCGGGGTTGCCTCAGGTGCTCGTCCCTCACGGCCTCGGCTGCTGCCGGGCGCTGCCCCTGCCCAGCCTCGCGGTGGGTTGTGCTCCTGCTGTCCCTGAGGGGAGCCCGCACCCCTCTGCCCCGGAATGGCGGCTGTGGCCCCTGCCAGAGTGACCTTCCGACATGACTGGCACAGATGCTGAGGCTGCGGGCGGAACAACTTGTGGCCGCTCACCTGCAGCTCACCTGTCCTTGGCTCTGCCCTTCCCATGCTGTGTGTGGCCTTTCACCTGTATCAGCCTTGGCTTTGTTGTCTCCCCTCTTCACATTCCCATCTCTGTGGTATTAGGGCATATTGCCTGTGTCACCTCAGCACCAAGAGGGCTGTGGAACCAAAAAATTCACTTTTTAAGCTGGTTCTTATGGTCACCCTTCTCACCTGGTGCTTCTGTCTCGTGCCCAGGAGAACCTGCTGAGGGAATAGGCTTAGAAGGAGAAGGTGTGTGGAGCTGTTTGGTCTGGCTTTGGGGAGAAAGCATTAGGAGCAGAGTCCTGGGGGAATCGGGACATTGCCAAGAGGAGAGAAGGAGAGAGAGGAAGAGTGGGGAACAAGATGGAGAACCCCCAACCTGTGAAGTCTCAGTGTTCAGAATGGAGAAGAGGGGCTCTGGAAGCACAGCACCGGTTTTCCTCTGTCTACCGGGTGAACATACTATTGTGTAGTTTGGAATATATTGGGAGAGACTTAAAGGGCAGGTAGAAAAAGAGAAATCATTTAATACTCCTTCTCCACAAAGAACCAAGTCTGTCTCCTGTAGCTGCTAATCATTCCTCCACTGAGATCCCCAGCCAGGGGAACACACACAGTCTGAGTGTATTTTTCCAATATTCTCCCTCTGGGCTACTTTGACTCTCAGGGGATGAGGCTCTGCTTGACTGTATAATACGTTGTTTACTCTATACCCTTAGGCCACCAATCAAGTAATATTTTTAGTATGTTTTCTATGAGTATTGAGTGATTATGTTAAATACTGGGAATTGGATACACCCTCTTTATCCAGAAGGCAAGTGACACCTTTGCCACCTCTCTGCACACCACATCTCCAGGACAGCAAGCAGTGACTTTTAAGCTGGTGTGAGCCAGAGGAAGAGGAAGCACAAAGCTGTCAGTAACCTGAGAGTGTGAGAGCGTGTACCTTACAGAAGGCCACGCTGCCCATTGCAGAGGCACATGGCTAGTTTTTAAACATTCTCAGTTATCAACCTAGAGACCATCTCCTAATCTGACCTTAGATCTCCCTGTTCAGATTTTTCTTGCTGTTTAACAAATGCATTTCTCTACCTTACTTTGGGTTCTTTTGTCTCATAGCTGCCTGCCAGTTCTATACAGTCTGGCTATACAGAAGCTGCACTGGTATTGCTCAAGTGTTACAATTTCTGTGTACAGCAAGCTCAAATATTATAAGATCTCTGTCTTCCGAAAAATATTAAGCTGTGCTGTGTCAAACAACTGTTACCTGATGGGTTTTTTTAAAAAATAACTGTGTAATTTTCAAGGCAAAGTAATTGATTATAGTTTCCTGCATATCCATCACCATTAAAGTGACTTAAGAGACCTGTAGTCAGATACATTTCTGCAGACATTCATTGCGTGGCTGAAAGTCTGCTCAGTCTGTTTTCTTCTTGAATGTGTGTATGTGGATAACAGACACAATACGTGATTCATTTTGCATTCTTCATAGAAACAAATCCCCAGACTTGCATGTCTATGGAAAAAAATAAGATTAAAACCCATCCATCTAACTCATCCTCTATTGTAAAACATTTTTGTTCTGTGTAATATTTATGCCAAGCATTAGAAATCACAGGTTACCTTCTTGGGTACGGTACAGGTGAATTACCCCTTTTCTGGGTCTGATCCAGCAGGAGCATTTCCACGAGCCCTAATTGATTTGGGAGTATCAGACAGATCCTCAGGAAGTTCTTTCTCCAGTGCACTCTTGCCTCCAGCTGAGTATTTCAAGTCATCTTAGCAGAAAGAATACCACAGACCTCCACACACATTTGTTCTTAGGCTGCCTGTTAACTTTCCTCTGGAAATACATCTTGCCTGGCATCTGGTGTGAGAAAACAGCATGCTTTTTCCCTCTTTTTTTTTTTTTTTTTTTTAGGCTCTGGTACCTTGCTGAGTCACTGTTTTTGAGGTTAATGACTAGTGTACTCAACTGGATACTCAGTAATTAACACCCACGGAAAGGGTACTTCTCCAGCATGTAATAACAGACCTATAATCTTCTGATTTGAGACAGATATCAAAAGCTTTCTGTTCCTAAATAACGAAGACAGAAAGGCTAACACAGACCAAAAGCAACAATTGCAATTTCCATGTCACCATTAGGCATTGGAACAAAACAAAATTTGCAACTGCAAAAACACTAGAAGCCGTTTTCTTAGGACTAGCCCCTGGCATACCTAAATGGAAAGGATATTTTGAACTAACTTGAATATCAGGAGATAATTCATTGCTTGAGGAAATGGCAAGAACCTTGCTTCTAGCAAGAGTAACTTGCACTGTGCTTTGGCATTAAGCTCCAAAGATGGAATTTTTAAGTTCAGTCCACATAGGAATCTCAGCAGAGGCAAATGTGCCTTTCTGAGGTTATTATCCTTTTAGGAGATGGGTGGTTTGAAATAGCAGAGTGTCTGCCTTGCAGACTATTATTTTTGTTTTAGAAGGAGCTTGATCTGGGAACACAAAAATCCAAGAGAAATGGAGAAAAGAGTCTTTTTGTTATTGTTTCCACCCTGCTCATACAGTGCATTTATAAGAATAGCAAATGATGAGAACCAAAATTCTAATACAAAATAAAAGCCAGGGTGATTGTGTGGATGGCAGAGGAATTTAAAACAGTTCCATAAAACTAAACCAATTTTATCCAAATTGTATTACTTATCAGAGAGGATTGTCTGGCTTTGTAGCTAAGGGCTGCACCTGTTGTTTTAAAAGGTGTTTTCCTAGAAGGTGGTTGGAAACAGAAACAGTTATGGAAGAAGGAGCATCCAAAGTGAACCAACAAGGAGAATAGAAACTTGTGGCCTTTAAAAAAACCCAAATAGCTCGAGACTAAAGATAAAGGCAGTAAAAAAAATAGTTAGCTGAAACCCAGGGACAGGCAGGCTTCCAGAACAACTTCGAAAGAAAATACTCAGAGAAGAGACAATTGTTCCTTTCACAAAAGAAGGGACTAACCCAGTCAGTGGGACGCACTGCCATGAGGCAGCTCTGAGGTCCAGAATAATGAGAACTCTCCAAGTAAACAGAATATTGGTGGCTGAGGGGGGGGGTGTACATTTTAATGCCTCAGAACCTAAAACAGTTTCTGAAACAAGGAGACAGGAGACTGAACTGATGGACCATCAGCCTGATCCAATCTGCTGGGTCAGGGCTGGCACACATCTGAACCTGTGTTCACTTCTCTGGTGTTTTAGTTCCTGTGTT